GATACTTATTATGAAGAGGAGTTTGTTTTTTTTTTTAGATAGTTAGTCACGTGTATTTTCTTATGTAAGTAAAATAAATCTGTTTTAATAAAATTTTGTGTTCACTTATTTTTATCTTAATTTGTAAAAGTGTATTAAAATTTAAATGGAAACAAACACAGAACAGTTAAAACCACTGATATCAAATTGACTGGTTGTTGAATGGCAATATCTCATTAAATTTTTTATTTAACATAGTAAAAACATCATTTTCTGCCACAAACATAAATGGTTGAGTAGTCAAGCAATGCTTTGATAGCATCTTAATGATGATTTTTTTGCATATTAAGATCATATTACTTTTATTAAAATGACAAAATTGTGAAATATGTAAGATAAAAATAACCAGCCGAGTAGGCGGGGAGAAAGTGAACAAAAGTTTCAAATACGCATAGTCAAGGAAAAGCGGAATACACTATGATTCATTGTGCATTTCCTGACATATGTTATAGTCAGCTCTGGCTGATTGTAAAGACAAGACAACAACTGTCAGCAGTCATTGTTGAGCATTCCCATCTCACACAACAATCAAATGTTTGAATCAGCACAATTGAATCAGCAACTCTGCTTGTGAGTCATTGAACAACACAAGTGCAAGAATGTGAAATGTACATAAAGTGCATGCAACAAATAACAAGAAAATGAAGTAAATATAAAGTTTGGTTTTTAAAAAGTTCAACCAGACATATTTTGTAGCTGATTTGTTTATGTTAAATTAAATTTGTTGTCACAACAAAAATTGTAAAAATAAAAAAATTTTAAATTGTAAAATTTGTTTTGCCACCTTTTTATTCCAATAGCCATATTTTTTTAACATTATTAGTTAAACTTTGCTTAATTTATTCTTGTACCCTAATTTTGTAGTTTATCAACACATATGAAAATCAAAAACAAAGTGTTATTAAACATGAAACTTATCTGACAATATAACTATCTGGCTATGGAAAAGCTATCGGATGAAGTAAACCCTGGTATTTGAATGAATGATAAAATAATTAATAACAGTTTATATTCAAGCAATAAACTAATTTTAAGAAGATAAAATACCTTATACAGTGCACTAGGTTAGTACCATCAATGTAATATAAGCTCAGAATATAAGAATACATGTGGTGACCACATGGTGGGATTTTGGCATCCGAACAAATCTTGGACCAGGGACAACTCTTTGAGAGGGGCCAACAATTGCAGGAGTAGACAAAAATATATTGTTATATGACAGACAAAAGTCAATAGTCCATTGTGAGAAATAAAGACACCCCTCTATAATAACAATTTGTTTGGCTTACAGTACTTGATACATTGGCATGTGCGAGCTTGTCTATTCTGTGTGTAACGGAACAAAGAAGATTTGATTTTACTTAAAAAGACACACATATATTCGAACCCGTATAAATATTCTGCAGCAGCGCAGCTTAAACCAATAACAAAATTAATTCTGATATTCCAAAACTAAGTTTAGTGGAGAAAACTGCACTAATGTTCAACCCTCCAACCAACTGAGTTGTTGCAGCTCTGAAAGAATGTTTCTGGTAAAAATTAAATTGGCTCTTCATTATTTCATATTATAATAACTCAGTAGCCTATCTCGAGCCTATCTAGAGATTTCAGGTGATCTATAGTCAATGATTACACTCCAGTTTTAATGTAACATGTTTTAATGTACACTCAGTACAATTAACGCAGCCTAGTAGTAATTTTATACAATACGGTAATGAATTCAGGTAAAACATTTTTAATTTTTCAATATTCAATTCAATTAGGATTTGTTGGTAGCGTATTGATCTACGGATTGGGGGTTTGGAGTAATTTTCTTAAAACCTTTCAATCTTAACCCTCGACGTCAGATTTTCAATGTGAATTTGAACTTCAGTTCTTAAGATATAAACATTTCCATCAAGAAATAAGCCAATAAATACCAGACGTTGAAATGGATACCGTATTTCTTTAACAAGCATTTAAGTTAATCAGCGATACAGTATTTTGTATTGAATAAAATTATTTTTTTAAGCTATCAAACAATATGCAGAGTGTAGAACTAGCCTGTGGTGGAAGAAGCCTTCATTGATTGTACTAAGACAAAAGATTGTCAACAACTGGCGTTGCCATGGAGATGGGCCTTACTCAGACTTACTGTCTCTGGCTTATCTAGGATTTGAATTCTTGACACAGATCCGAGGTACATTAAATATGCTTTATGTTTGTGGCATGAGTTCATATTCAAACTGAAATCTAAAATTTCTACGCGTTATCACTAAGTCGGAATAACACAACATAATTTTAAATTTTGTAACTACCAAAATTGTAGCGTTATCGTTCGGCTTTCAACTTTCAGTAACATTCTCAATCTTTAACGTCTTTTACTTGGTCGTGTTTTATTTTAGCACAATGTGCATAGCTAAGCATATTAGTAGATTCATGCTTGAGTAAGGTCTTAAAATATTGACTTTGGATCGCTATTCCAACATAATGGTGTAACCAACACAAAATAAAACACCAGTTAAAAATAAGAAAAAAGTAGGGCCTATAGGTAACCAAGAAAATAGTTTGAAATTGTTTTGTAGAAATGAATGTTACAAAATACAAACAAGAAGAAAAATTCTTTCATTTCTAATGATTGTCAGTTTTACATTATTACAACTTTAATAAACATCGTAGATAAAAATCAATCTACACCTCTAGTACAATTGAGATTTAAAAAATTGTAGGTAGTGTGATAAGTTAAGAGCAAGCAATTCAGACCAAGTGAGATACGACTAGCTTAATAATTCAAATGACCTGAATTCCTAAATACTGGGTACACTCAACAAAATGACACTAGGATCAAATCTTTATCGCATATGAATAATCAAATGTTTGTCATGTGAGGGCTTTCAAAGTATTTTCAGTCATAAAATTAGTAATTTATAAATTGAAAATATGAATACTCTATATTGTTTTTCTATTACCTATGCCATTATAGGTTTGTCCAGGCCAATTATAAGTTAGACTACATACTGTAGTACTATCTTCTGGTGGGTTTTACAAAAATATGTTAAATTCTATTTTTCACCGTTCACTGGAAGAATTTCTATGAAAATGGGCTAAACACTACCTGAGTGCTACAGTAAACATGGATATAAAATGTCACTTTTAAATTAGACAGTTGAAGCAAAAGAAGCCACGCAAAGTTACTCTATGTAACATTGACAGGTTGTTGGCTTGTGTGTTAGCACTGGCGTCTGTATTGATGCTTATAAATAAAACACTGCCAAGGTCTAAGTTCTACCCATTGAAACCTCACATTCTTACAATCTTGTAGCTCTTGACCCCAGAGAACTTTCTATGTTTGTAGTTTCTTTATTGATTTATATTACTGAACAAAATTGTATTTATTTACTTTTATGTCGGAAAGACACCACAAGAACTGCACTGTATAGAAGGCATACTATGCTGAAGAAATGCATTGTCAAGAGTGTTGATAGAGCCTATTGATAAAACCATTTGAATCCCAAAATAATTTTAATCCTTAATTAAAAACAAACAATTCATCTGGGTTGTATAAAATTAACTCTCTCATAGAATAGGTACTACGCCACTCTATTTAGGATAGATAATGGCTTAGTAGCCTTTGAAGTGATAGTATTTTTTTATTTGTGTTTATATCTACATTAGGTAGGCCTAATGTTGTTTTTTTTTTCTCTCTCTCTAAAAACCGGTGAAAAGCCTTGGCTGATTTCTATCCGGAAACGTCAGCCTTTCATTAGAGAGAAAAACTAACTTAAAGCAGAGTGGACATTAATTTAGACATTGGCATGTACCTAATATTAGGCCTCAATAGATAAACCACCCATCTAATACTTGCTGTAATTTAAGAAAACTAAAATCAAAGTTACTTTTAGTAAAACAGCTTTCTTTTGTATGCATAAAATAAGTTAGGCGTTAAATAGCCCGATCAGACACACAATTCACTAAGAAGCCCATACGGTAATTCTGTTAATTTTATATCAAGAACACTGTTTTACATGTGTAAGCTACCTGTCCTCTTTGTCAAAAAAAAGGTAAATTCTCGTGGATTTCACATAACAAACGTAACCAATTATAACTTAGAGGATTCAAACCCTTAGTATCAGAACTGTCTTCTCACCAGGGTTTTGTATTCGACCAATCTAATTTAACGTTCCAGAGGACCGCCTTACTGCTTACTGTAATTTGTTAGACTGAAACCTAGGCCTATCTATAACTTATAGTTAGTAGTTTTTTCCTTTGCAGAAAATTCTTTATCCTAGTCTTTAGCAATTTTTTTAAATAGGCCTACATAGGCTACATGTGAGTTTCGTTTTGATAACTTAGCCTAGCCTACAATGCAATAATACGCCTGAATGTCAACAAATTGATATTTAAACAAATTAATTCTCTTTTAGTGCTGTAAGCAAACTTAATGTGATGGTAGAATGAGTTTTTAAGTTAAATTTTAAATAACCCAACAATAGGTAAATACGTTCGTATTTTGAAGAGTTATCAACTTATTTTCTTATGGAATTATAAGTCACTGTTAAAACAAGTTAAATAAATCATAGATGATCTATAATTTGCGTCCTATATGGTTAAACAATGTTTAACTATACCAATAGGCCACTAGGCCTAAGTTATAATACAACTAACTGTTTTAGAAAATGTCCCCCAATAGGGAAGAAGCAGTTTGTTGTGTGTTTTATGGGGGCTTTAGCAGTTGCATGATGACCCTTACCCTCTGGTTGTGATATTTCCAAATTCTTGCAAGTTCCTGATTAGACAAGTTTAAAACAGAACGTTCGTCAACTTTCATCATTAACATTTCAACTTTTCAAGTGCCCATAAAAGGAAATGATCATTAAGCTATAGTAACAAGTCAAAAATGTAAAAGATTAAAAACAACTTAACAAATGTTCAATTATTTGATCAAGCAGTATACTAACTACTAAAATGAATTAAAAACTTACTTTTGCCGGTCAAATCAAATCGAGGGACACTTGCCACTGCTTAGATGATAGTCAAAGATTCTCGAATGGTTTTTGCTCAAATAATTCAAAATATATTTATGGTAGGTAACACTTCACACAGATGAATAACCGCAATCGACAATAATTTATTTTATCACAAATCACTCGAGAAAACTATTCCATAAAAAGCATGCAGACCCAAATCATTCTCATTCTACACAACGAGATTACTTTTACTTGTATCGAGCTCTGAAGACTACGGACCGGGACAATCGAATAACCAAAGAAAGGCCGAGGCCGAAGGCCGAACATCTGCCGCTTGCAGCAGCTGCAGACGGCACAACCAAACAAAAGACACAGCTGTGGTGCTAGAAAATATCACGTCAGCTGAAATAACAGTATCGTCAACGTTAGATAGTTGAATCTGTATATCTAAAAAGACACGTGTTGGATAATGTATAAAGTTTATAGTTCTTTATAAGAACCGTACTATTTCATTATTCTAATAATCAAAAGATTATAATATCATCATCCAATACTCAAAATTATTTCTTTTAGGTGTGGTAACATAGCCAGAACCAGCAAAGAAAGTTTGAGTGTAAAGAAAATATATTTATGTTGTATAACCAAAGTTTAATATTTAAAAAAAATGTATGTTACTGTATGAAATATATCTTGACAAGAAGTAAGAATGTTATTTAACTTCGCACGAAATTTGAATACACTAAGATAATGAATAACCGGAGATAAAATAGCACTTCTCAGTTCTCGCACTTCTTTGTGTTCCATGCCCCTAGCGGCCTTTTTGTATTGATCTGGATCCTTTGGAATGAAATGTGTTGAATTGTATCGATACATATCTAATACACTAGTATTAAAAGAGGCTACGAATGAAGATATTAGTAGCAGGTTGTTGACAAAAATATACAAATCAAGAGTGTATGTAACAGTATTTGGAGCGTGTGTCAACGTGTCCAAAATGAAGAAGAAATTGAGACTGATTGTCAGTGAAAACCCGCCACCTCTCACACAAGAGGTGGTGAGTTGATGGGATGGCTCTTTGTTCGGATTCGGGTGTTTCCTAGATGGGAGCGTGCACTACCAGCCACACCACCTCAAATAAATGTGTGCTTGTGGTAGAGGGTTGTTGTGGTGGCATGCTATCGGGTACGTAGAGTTGTGCACGTAAACCCGCCAACTCTTTAGTGTGGTGGTGGATTGTTGGGGTGGCATCTAGTTGCCATCGTGCATGGTAGTGGTGGGCGTGTACCTGGAGCGTACGAGACAACTGTTGCTGGTTTAATTCCAATCATAATCCATTCAGAACTTAAATGCTGTTATTTGTCACAAGGTTACTAAATAATTATAGTATCTAACAAAAGGTTAAACATTCTATTGTAAAAAGGTCAGAGTTTGGATGTTCCCTAAAAATATGTATAGTATAGATCAACTGAAATACGGAAAAATGAAAACAACATGTTGAATTTAACAAATACATGTATATTTTTTGCAGCTAAAATGTTATGCTCATGATGCATGTAATGTATTATTGGCTGTATGGTTATATAGCCAATTTTGTTTCTTGAGTAGATTAAACAAAGCTACATACATATTATATTAAATGATTGTCCGTTGTATGAAAATTCATGTTCTTTAATCAGTGCTCGAACTATATAATTGACTTTGAAACATCACGCGGTTACGTTTGCTGCCTACCTCTATTTTCATCACATTGATGAAAAAAGGTTCAAATTTGTCATTTTCGTTCTGTTTTCTGCTCTTCTTCTTCTCTTCTTTCTGGTCTGGGTAGCAGAAGAGAAGCAGACAGAAACCATTTACATGCTTTATACCTATCAACAATGTCATTTGAGTTTAATTAGATAATTACGCAACTAATTTAATAGTCATCAAGCAGGAGCATTCATAATGGTAAGAAAATTTTATTAGTTTGCAAACCATTAGTGTCCTAATTACTTAGTGAACGTAATTCATAGTCACAAGGTATGCTAGTTTTAACATCCTAACCTCACTCTTAAAACCTTTCTGTTGTATAATTCCTTAAATTGTTGTATTAAGCTAACTTAAATTAATGCTTTCTTATATGTGGGTCGGTGATATATGTGTAAGTCAAGCATTGCTTACAGCTACTCTTTAGGCTGTTGGATCAATCTAGGTTTAATGTTGAAATTTACTGTAGATTGCAACATCATAACTTAATATGGTTGCAGCTAACTTATATTAGGCTATAAGCTGGGATATTATATGCCTATTGGTGGCCCAGTAATCAGTAGGTTGCCGGTTAAATCCTGATTAGTATATTTTAAGGTTGCACTTGAGTTTACGTCCTATACATTAACTAAGTTACCAGCTGATTATAAAATGAAACTGTTCCAAACTAAACTTCTCAATGGCCATAAATTGACTGCCCCGCTTTACTTGCCCAAGTGGACCTCCGAGTGCCTTCTAGAACCCGTTCACAAGATCTGTTTGGCAAGAGGTACTTCAGTAGCCAATATGATTATCATGCTCCTCTTGCAAGATTTATTTGTCTTGGTAACATTCTGGAGGCCAGTATCGATATATCTGCATATTTATTTTATTAGTATAACTTAAGATTGTAATAATCATCACCTATCATTTTTGTAATGGTCTTTGGCCGTTGGGATGGAAATAAAAAATAAGTAAAAAACCTAACCTTAACCAAACTGCAGTAAGTTATGTAAATAAATGGGAGCGGCTGAAGTGAGCGTTTCGTAATGAAGCAAGATGAAACAATGACGTCATCACAGCGGCAGCTACTCACTGTCATAACCTAACCCAACTAACCAAAACTTGCTGATAATGAAAAATCGAATAAAGGTTAAATTCTGTTCAAAAAACAAAATTATAAATGCCTCAAATCAAAACAAAAGATGTACAGTTAAGAAGAAATGGCGTTCTAAGCAAAATCTTTGACAGAATGTTAGTGTCCCTGATTCGATCTAGATACCTCTGGCCCATCGGCCGAGTAGGCCTACTCTATCCACTACGCCACGAACACCCACGGCTGTAAATCACACGCCAGCAAAGAAAGAAGCAGACAAAATTTGATTACGCGAGTTGCGAGAAACAATTACGTATATCCAGCTGTCTTTTATCCTTGGGTTTTTCATAAAATGATCAGTGGCCTAAGAAGCAGCTGATCCTAAGCTAGCCAGTTACAAACTCAAACTGAAATCTCTAAATTTCACATTTGACTTAAGATATTTTATAGTATAGCCTAAATCACTTTTCACTTTCGTTCTTATTTTCCAGGGCAATGCCATTTACAAAATACAATCAGTTAAGATTATAATTATGGCATCATAAAAAATCTTTTGACATTGTAGCAACAGCGTGACAAAAGAAGAGTCCTAACTCCTTAACCAAATATCTCCACATTGTTTTCCATCTTCAGGGGAGCGAGCGGGCAGTGCATTATAGTAGTAGGCCTAATGCAATAGTAATAGTAGTAGACAATCGTGTTTGCCTAGGGATAGTTTCTAAGACACAAGTAGAAAATTTAAGGTACAGTATTAGCCTAGGCAAGTTCCTTTAAAACTGTCTTACGAGTGTCTGAAAGGCCAATTACACGAGTTGCACACTACTTTACCTATGATCATTTTTTCAATTAGGCCTACTAACAACCACTACTCATAACGTTTACAACCTCTCATTGCCACTAATTTTGATCCAACGACTCATTGTTCCACTGGCTCATCGTATAATTATTAAATTGGCCTTAACAGCTGATAAGTTGATGTTCAATGCATTACAATTTTACTTCTTTTCTCTCAATCCTTGAACCTCATTGGTCCAAACTCGTAGGCCTAATAAGAAGTAACAAAACAGTTCTTTTAAGTAAGTTAAGTAAAAAATACTGTAAAGTAAATCTTTTCCATTCTAAAAACTGAATGGTGTTTTGGGATGTCTATATTAAACCCGCTTGTCATAGAAGATAGAGTGAGACAGATTTTGGAAAAGGTTAAATAATCTTTCTTAACAAAAAATACGAGACAATCAAGATATAAATAGGCAGAAAAGTAAGACTAATTGTTAGGCCTACAAAAAGTGTTTTACAGGAAAATTTACAATGCACTAAGTTCACTAATCATTGTTTTGATTTCAATGACTTATTTAGGCACCCTGGCTTTCTGTGTCGTAAAAATATAGGCCTATTTGTTTGCTAATTGTAGGTTTAAGTCACTTAAATTAATCAAATAATCGATTGTTTTCAGAGTTCCGGCCTCATTCTGGCAGGCCTAGGCTTGGCTGCCATTGGTTACGCTGGGCGTTTCATCCTGAGGCAAGCCCCGCAAATGTCCCAAAAAATGGCAGAAGCATTCAAGGCACTACCTAAACTAGACAGTGAGGTAAGTTACTTATAGCTACTAAACTAGACTTATGCTAGGAACGTTTAAATAGGCAAGATACCGGTACTGAAGGAATTGTCTTATTGTCATCTTAATCTAGAATGCTTGGGTAGGTTAAATTTTCTTCAGGCACGTTTTTGATATGAATGCATATGTAAAAAGGCAACCCAGTGCTTCCAGCCCCCGAGTACCTTCCAGTTGACTCATTTATGGCTTGATTTTGATGACTAGATTGATTTAGCTCCAGTTTTGTAATGTAGATCTTATATAAAGTCACCACTGTATACTGTCAGGAGATGTTTCCCCACATGGGCATTGGCGTAAGTAACACGTTATGTCTGTAGTGGGCGATGTGTAATATTGAGAAACATTAGTTTTCATTGCAATATTCAGTACCAAAAACCATTAGGCTATTTTATATAAATATTCTTGTGAAAAGTAAATTGAATGGCTCTCCCGTTATAGCTGCCTAGGCACAGGCACTAAGAGGTGTTAGGTGTTAAGAGTCCGCTTGTGAACTCTGATGGTGGAACTGGGTGACATATCTTCTATGACTAAGAAAATCAGAAGATCTAGTCCCTGAGCGAACAAATTAGTTGAAATACAGTAGACAAAAAAAAAGATAATATCCCTTGTTAGGGATCAAAGATTTTCTTATTTTATAGGTATCTAAAAAAAACTATTCACCATAAACAAGTCTTTTGTTTTTTATGCCACTTCCAGACATTAAATTAATTCAATCATTAATTTTCAGAGTTTTGCGAGCAGTAAATATTACAAAGGTGGGTTTGATCATAAAATGACGAGACGAGAGGCGAGTCTCATCCTGGGAGTGTCACCGACAGCTAGCAAAACAAAAATAAAGGTACT